GGCACACCGCAAGATAGCAATTTGTTGTTGTTTTTACCCCTTTTTTGGCCTGCCCCTGTAGTTATGACATCCGCACACGGCGCACAGCACGCTTATTACAAAGGGCAGTGCCTCTTTTATGGCCTTTTGGAAGTAGGCACCTGTTTAGGCCGTCTGTTTGTTTTGCCGATTTGGAACTCGTCTTTGACTGATCTGCACTAAGTTTTGCCCTTGTTTTTTTTTTCTTTTTGTTTACGAGTAGCACCACTGATCTAATATATGCTCTTCACAAATGAATGGGAAGAAAAGTTTAACATCCAGGATTCCAGGGTTGTCAGGAAAAAAAGAAAAAGAAAAGAAGAAGAAGAAGAAGAAGAAGAAGAGTGTTTCCAAGATCACTCTTCAAACATGCAGGGAGTCCGACCCAGTCTGCAGAAGCCTTGCTCTGGCCGTAGGTCCACTATAATCTCATCAATCCCCAAATTCACATTCGTTCGCCGTATAGAGTAATTCAAAGCGCGTAACGTTGGAATTCAAAGATCTTCAATTGTATCTCCGTTCCCCAGACTCACATTAATTTACTGCAGTGAGTAAAGCGCGTAATTTGGAGTTGGAAGATCTACGATTGTGTTTCCACGATGAAGTCGAAAGGCTTGCTTGTGAACACCATTCGATCATGGGGGGATCATAGCAGACCCGATGCAGAGAGGAAGACACAAAGGAACACTATGTCTTCTCTGCATTTACGTTGGTGACTGTTTGTTGGCCTTGGATGCACCTTGCCACCACCGTGACGCTAAATGTCTGCATGGAGATAGGTAGTGGAGACTCTGGAGAGTTCGAGCCTCACTGCGTCACAACCGACAAACCCAGGGACACATACAACTCGGATCAGTCAGGAAGAGAGTCTCGAGGCATGCTCATAGTCTGATAGACTGTCCTTTTTAACAGAATCTGCTGTGAAGTGCTGTGCTATGCATCCAAAAATTTCCTAGGTTAAGTATGCCCTCCCTCAGTCTGGCCTTGGAGGCTTCTTCCACTATAGTAATTACCTCATCAGACTTGCTGTTGAACTTTGTGGATGACTGCCCAGAACCACTAGTACCTCCAACTCCAAGGTTGCGCACCTTTGTGGGGACCACCAGTATCTCCAACACCAAGGCTGGCCACCTTGGACTACCAGACTGTTCTGGGGGTCGGTAATGCCGGGGGCAGCCATATGCATTGCATTTGTGCCCGGCGATTCCTTTTTTGTTTTTTTCTGCTTTCTTTTTGGGTGCCAGATTGAATTTCAGGTTTTTCGTCTTATGAAACGTCAAAACCCTTACACCTCAGCAAGTACCCTACATGCACCAATTTTTTTCGTGGCCTTTTCGAGTTCGCACCTAGTCATTGCATCTCAGACTCTCCAGTCCATTGTCTTCTGGGCCCAAGTTCCACTAGCAGGGGTTAGTTTAGTTTTTGGATTCGTGCAGCAGCCAGCCTGAGCCAGGCCACACAAAAAAAAGGGGCCAGCTGCTCTTATCTGCATCCGTTAGATTTGTGGGCTGCCGGAAAAGATCTTCTAGTATATGAGTTGTGAAGGGAGAGAGAAAAGGTAATTTAAGACTCTAAAGAGTCTTAGAGAGAGACATTACAGTTCTATCTGACTAGTTGTGACAACTAAAGGACTTCAACGATATATTATATGTATGCTGTAGTATGGACTACTTGTCTGGAGAGGTGCATATTGACTCGAGAATGAGCTCATGGGTGATGAGAGAGACTTGACAATGTTTGATCTGCATCTGATTGACAGACTGGCAGTGCGAAGGAGGACAGGATCATGCAGACGGAGACAAGGACATTGCAAACTGAACAAGAACAAGCATGACCACTTGGAAGGACGGAGAGAAACCGAAACAAGTGCAACAATTACTGGTTACAGACAGTTGGAGAAGACTGAGTGCGGAGCTTGAGACACATGTGACATATCTGCTTTGCAAGGGCTGCCTGCTGAGTCTGCTGTCTGCGTGCCAGCTGTGGCCCATGGGCAGTGGGCACTATAGGTTACATTGGTAGAGCAGACCAGTGGGTGGAGTAGGGGGAAGCAGAGGAGAGAGTGAAAGAGAGATGCAAGCTTTTGTATCAAGCTGCAAGAGTCGAGCTTGAGAAAGGAAAGGATTGGGAGGAGAACATCATAAGGGAGAACCTCGAGGACTCAGGGAAGGAAGAGGAGAGAAAGCCCTAGGGGGTAACTTTCTCAGTGAGGCCACACGGGACGCAAGATGGAGCCAACTTAGCCAAGATCAAACTTGAATGGCAGACCTCTTGACGTGCTTCATTCCTTTCATTGAAATTGGTTCGTTGACTTCTACTATAATTCCGGCTATCATTGCCTATCAAGCAAAGGAGTTGACTCAGCTTGACTGGTGTTCTCCTCCATGGTGGCATACAGGACGAGACTCAGTTCAACTTGGAAATTATCCTCTTCCCAAACAGGTGAGGCTGGTAAGCACATGTCCAACAGGAGAAAGTCCTCTTTCTTTCTCATCTATTACAAGACGAGTTAGCCCGTATAGTGGTGGATCTCTGATCATCTCTCTAGTCAAGAAGTCTTTACTCTACCTTCCCGTTTGACCAGCTAGCCAACCATCACAATCAAATAGCAAAAGGAGTTTAAAGGACAATATAATTCAGGTGGAGCGTCACCTGGCCTCGTTTTGTGAGCCTTGTATGCGGCACATTGGTTGGCAAGGACAAGATAACTTAAAGGTGCAGTACCCCCTCTGCTAACAGACTTGATAACAGTTAATAATAGGTTGTTGCGTGCGCTAGTTGGAAGTTGGAACCATAATATACAATTCAATTTGAGCTACTATTCAGGTCCGAGTCTTTGATAGGAAGCATAAGATGCCTCAAGCCATGGCAGCTCTCGAGGAGGCCTACAATGCCCATTCTATTCGTCAGATGCTTGATATCGTTGATGAGCTCCGGAGGATGGGAGTCAAGGACGACGGGATCAAGCTGCCCTCCATTGTGGTGGTGGGGGATCAGTCCAGTGGGAAGACTTCGGTGCTTGAGTCCCTGTCAAAGATTCGTTTGCCATCAGCTAAGGGGCTCTGCACACGCGTCCCCCTCATCCTACGATTAACTTCCGATGGTGTGCACGGAGAAGGGGCTGATTACGAGAGCACGTCAGACAATGTACACGGGGCAGAGAATGCCCCAGAGAGCAGGATTGGGGAACAGCAGAGGCCCTCGAGGATTGTCATAGAGTATCCAGGCGTGCGTAGGGAAATCCTTGAGGATGAGGTGGAGTTCGAGGTCCGTCATGCAACTAATATGCTAGCTGGAACTGGTTCTGACATTAAAGATAGACCCATAACTCTAACAGTGGCCAGGCAAGGTGGCCCGGACTTAACTTTAATTGATCTGCCAGGGATTACTCATGTCCCCGTACGCGATCAACCTCATGACATTTACGAGCAGGTCAAAGGGATCATAACGGAATACATCAAGCCGGAGGAGAGTGTCATCTTGAATGTGCTCTCTGCAGCCGTCGACTTTGCTACGTGCGAATCGATTAGGATGTCCCAGCAGGTGGACAAGCACGGTGAACGGACGCTGGCCGTCGTCACCAAGATCGATATGAACTGGGATGGACTCCTTCACAAGATCACCACAAGTGAGGAGGAGTTACATCTTGAAGGACAATTTGTCCTCGTGAGGAACAGGACGGAGAGAGAAAAGACGCAGGAGGCGGCAAGGGTGGCAGAAGCACAGTTCTTCAGTGAACATTCGGACCTTCAGACTTTGGAAAGGCGACAGATGCTGGGCATTGACTGCCTTGCCGATCGGTTGATGAAAATCCAGGCACAGCGTCTGTCAAAAAGTTTCCCAAAGATACAATTACAACTTCGAGTACTACTGGACGAGTGCAACACGGAACTTGCGAAGATGCCTCCAGGAGTTTCTTCGCCCGGTGAGGCAGCGAAAATGTTGTTCCAACTGCTGGGAAGAAGGAAGGACATATTGGAGAAATTAATGGTGAAGGGTGACTTTGGAGATGAAGACAGGTCTCTGCAATTCGCCCCTCGGGTGGAAGAGAAGATGGTTCGCTTTGATCGGGACTTGGCGGCAGCGGCGTCCGAGTTCAAGGGCGACGTGTACAGGAGGCATGTCCTGGAAGTAACGAAAGCCGTCAAGGGTGTCGGCTTGCCTGTGTTCGTTCCTGAAGTGGTTTTCAGACGGCTAGTGAGGGAAGAAGTGGATAAATGCACCGAGGTGTGCGAAGCATTTATCCCTAAGGTATGTGATTACGGAGAGAAAGTCGGTGCGTACGCCATACAAGAATCCATGGGCTCGTATCGAGCTCTTGTTGAGAGGGCAGCTGCAGTGACCACTAAGGTCATCTTTCAGACCAAGGAGAGGTGCCTTGCCTTTGTACGAGAGATGCTTGGCAAAGCTGTCGACATCGTACATGTTGACCCTCAAGCGTTCAAGGCCATGAGAAAAATGGCCTTCCAGGTCATTCCTGCTGCTAATGATACTGAAGAGGACAAGACGGCTAGAATGCTGCAGGCCACCTTGTTCGCATACTGGAAAATAATGCACAAGCGTCTGGCAGATGAGATTCCAATTCAAATAAAATTTGCAGTGCAGAGGGCGCTGCTGAATGATGTTGACTGCCAGCTGATGGACTTCAAAGGAGACTGCAGTTTGGAGATGATGGAGCTCATGCGGGAAGACACGGCCATTTACAGAAAGCGAATGCATCTGCAAAGCAGAATTGCTACTCTGCAAGAGAAAATGCGTCTTGTCGCAATGTTTTGAGTCTTTTGACCACGGAACCTAAGTCAACCAATGAGATATCTTCTCTGTTGGGCCATCAGTCTTAACCCTGCCCAGAGCCGCTCCCTACCAATTGCAGGTGCACCCTTGGACCTTGGTATCACTTGATTCCATGCCCTCATGGGACAAGTCCAATCTCATTCCTTCTCATTCGGAAAGTTTACCAGTAACTCACTGACTCTGCTGCCGAAATGAGTAAGAAACGTTGTCAAATTGTGCGAACAAGGCCGACGCATCCACCGAAGTACGTTAAGATAGCCTCATGCTTTGCATCTCATTCCCCTGCTAATCAGGGATTGAGGGGAAGTTTACTTAGCTTGTGTGCACAACCCAGCACTCATGAGAGAGAGAGAGAGAGAGAGAGAGAGAGAGAGAGAGAGAGAGAGAGAGAGAGAGAGAG